ATATATATACATATCTACATATTGTTTCTATCGAACCGCCTGATGCTCACAAGAGCCCTGCGGTTTGTCAGCATATGCTTTTTCGACAGGTGGTGGTCAAAAGCACCTGTGGTGAACCGGTGAATGAATTGGATTCATGGGCCCAACTTCACTCCAACCAGTGTGGTCATGAGATGTCATGATCCAGGCTCAGTCCCACCAAGAGACCCCGTTTCCGGATGTTCAGCACCGATGTAAGCTGCGGGGTCCTTTCAGGGTACATTTGGTACCTTCAGAGGCTGCAGATGTGTTGTCCATGTTCCGTGAAGAAATGACCACGAACCTTTCACCATGACCAGGCTGTACAGCCAGGTTGTACCAACCTTTCCCCTTTCAGGGGCTCAACCTGTGTTGTCCATGTTCGGTCGCCCCCCGCACCACCGACCTCTGCGGTCGCGACGCGGTCCGTGACCCGTTGACCAGGAGAGTTGGCCGACCAGCCGATCCGGGCAGCCCGGTGGAAAGAACCGGGTGGTTCACACCGGTTGAGGTGGACGAAGAACATACAGTATGGTTTGTTGTTCTTGCATAAAGCTCTGTGGAGTTGGAGGGTTGACCAAACTTACTACCTTTTTTGAGAAGGTCTACTTGGAATCTCTAGGAAAACGCTGGGAGATGTCCATGTCCACATAGTTCCAGGATGTCGGAGAGTATGTGGATGTGTCACGAGTCACGTGAAAGACTTGATAATTATATATATATATACAAATGAAATCTCGCATGTTGGTGAAGTAGTGTTCTTTTCATAAGTTTTCTTCCTGTGTGGACATCGGGCAATGAATGGCCTACATGTAAGTGAGAAGTCAGGACGGACAACCAGATAGCTATTCATGAGAAATGTTCACTGTTAACTACTCCAGACCATGCCACCCTGGTCAGGAGAATCCTTCAAGTGCGCCCTGCTTCGGGATGGCAACTGTCTTTCCATGCAGATGAATAGTTGCATAAGCCGTGTGTATAGCACACGCACACATTGGTTGCCCTGCGGCTTAGTGTAGACCTTGAATATGAACCAAGCACACACCAAGGTGGAGCTGATCGATGATGATGACTGAGACGCGACACAGAAAGCACAAAAAAAGCTGTTTTGACCGAGTAACAATTTGGACAGAAGGGTTACGATCTCCAGCCTCGATAGAAGGGACCTCCGGCCTCAAAGATCATCCAAGTACAGACATGAGTCCTGAATAACTCCAACTAATGAAGTTCATCCAGTTGTGAAGAGGTGAGTCATTGGCTTCCACTGGATAGGTAGAGGATGATCACATAACACCCAGGTCCAATGTTGAGCGAGGCCTTTAGAATTTATGGGTGCAGCGGTTCATGTTATCATGTTGGCTTTTAGCCTGAGATCCTCCTGTGAGATCCTGACTTGCATGTCGTGAGAGAAAGATTTATGCCTTGGAGTGTATCTGAAGTGGGCCCCAGTTTACGTGGCTTTGATGTTCGTGATTGGATCCCGCCGCATTTGGTTCCCCAAAGTAGCAGGCATTGGGCCCATCGGGGAACCACGTGATCCGATGATGCCATCGGTTCCACCGAAGAAGCGGAAGTTCATTGTGACGGTCATCACCAATCCGGGCGACCAAGTCTATCTCACAGGAGGCAGCTGAATCTTGCAGAACGCTCCGGGTGTGTTGGGGGTTTTGATTGCTGCAAATTGGTGAAGTTGGAGCACTGTTGAAGCAAGACATCGTAGTAGAGCAGCTGAGATGGTCTTCCAAATTCCTACTCGCTCCGGAGCGAAGGTCCCGCTGTTCAACAGCTGTGCTCTCCAAACCTTCCATCAATTGTGTTGGGGTGAACTAGTCACCATTGGATTTCATGTTGACCATGTTCCATTTCATGTGAGATACTGATGAGCTTGGCAACTGGAACCTGGACTATGCCATCCAGATGAAAACGGAGGACGGCTTCTACCCACGATGGTGGTGTGAGGCACGGTGAATGTTGCCTTTGGAATTACAGTATCCCACATGTGAAGGCATGCCCCTGGCGAGCGGGCCCTTGTTGAGTGGACAGTTCCTTCCCGTGCTTCATACGAACTAATGCGGGCCGACCCCATCCAACTGAGCAAATCCACCCCATCCTGGCCGACCCTCCGTGAGGTCTCCTTGGACTCCTCGCCCCTTCAAATTATTCACTACAAGTACGTCCTGGTACAGAACAATGGCGAGCCAGTGTGGGAACCCCGCCTCAATCGAAGCTTGGAGTCCAATGACCGCGAGCTGGATGATGGAGAGTTTGGAGAAGACAGCGCAGGCTCGCCGCCCTGGGAGTCGACAAGGTTCTTTGAAAGCTACAGCTACACAGCACCTCGTACTCTTAAAAAGAAAACTGCAGCACAACTCAGGTAGGGTTGCGATTTCTGTCATGCACTTGGAACAAGCAAAAAAAATCAAGAACATATCATTTGAGTGTGTGGGGTGGGAGCAAGCTGGCACCCCAAAACGATCGTAGATGGACGTTCGCATACATTCGCATACGACATCCTTGTTCATGTTTGGGCTTTCCCTCAGGGATGGGTTGGCTGGACGAGTTCGTTCGTCTAATCAGGCCAAGACACCAAACGGGGCAGCAAGGAGTGAAGAAACAGACTGCATTGGACACCATGTTGACACCAAAGCCTGGAAGACACGTGGAAGACCTCCATTTGGGAGACAAGAAGAAAGCACAATGTGTTTGGTATCGTGGTGATTCAATGTTTCGACGAGCCGGGTGTTGTTGTTCTTAGAGACGCCGTGTGTATAGTCGTGTGTATGTATTGTATTCAGTATTGTATTCTCTTGCCCGCTGCCCCAGTGGCGGCATCGGGGCATCGGCAGATATAGTACTCGACTGTACGCAAAGAGGTAGAAAGTAGCACCCAGGTAAAACTTAACCGATAGTATGTGCGCATGCTTTCTACCAACGATCCTGTCAGCATGTCAGCAAGAAACCTGAGGAGAAAGCCGTGGCTTGTTTGTCAGGTACTTTGCCTGTACATATGCAATGTTGTTTGAAGTAGGTTCATTCTGACGACTTGTTGCCTTTTTATGGTACAGGTGTTTTCAGAGAAAATAGACTCAAGTTCAGAACATTGCCAGGCGATTCACAGAAGCAAGGGAGTTACATCCCCTTCCACAACTTCGCACGAACAGAGTGGGTGAAGGCGGAGTTCAAGAAGATGCAGAAGGAGCCGGTTCTTCCAATTGTTTTTTCCTGCTGGTGGTCTGTGGCTAAAGGCTAGGGCGGCTAGGGCTAGGCCAAACGCGGATCTGGGTTCCTGAGTCAAAGCAAGATCCAAACAGACCTGTCCGTCCATGTTCCAAGCTGAAAAGCATGCATGTGAGGCATTTGTAAATATTAGTTAATCAAGTGTTATTCGAGTTTCCATACGTTTCCACCCAATTTGCGAGGATTTGTTGATTGGATCTAATTACACAACACTCAGGTGCAAGATCATTTCGAGGGTGGATTTTGTGTGTATATGAGTGTTCACAATCTCTTGTTTGAGCACTAGTCTTCAGAAAGGGAAACTCGAGTAGGCTGGTTTTTGCGTTGATTCATGCAAACAAGTTCAGGACATTTTGGATCTGAAACAATGGAAAGAAGGCAAAGCCAAAGAGTTCTTTGATGCTTCTGAGCGGAATCAGCTGAAGGACCTGGAGGACTCTTGAGAATCCTCGCTTTGGGAACTCTGGGATTTGCATGGATTTGCCAGCTTGTGCAGTAGGTGGTCCATGGTGGTCCTCCTGAGTAGGTGTTTGGCTTCCTAACAACTCACGGAGCAGGGCTCGTGGACCCGATGAAAGTGCAAGCCCCCAAGTCCTCATGGTTGAGAATTCAGTCATGTTCAGTCAGAACAAAATGAATGTTCAGTTCATGTCGCAGGAGTCGTTGCAAGACTTCAAATACAACAGCGACCGCCAGCTCAGCGACTTGAACCTTGGCTTGAGGAGGCTCGAGAGTCAACACAAGGACGTGTCCAAGCAGCTGGAGCAGCAACCGTCGGAGGCAAAACTGAGGCTGGAACGGGTGAAACTGTGTAGGCACCACTGGTGCATTTCGTGACCAACACTTGGGCTAATTGGTGTCAACGCCTGACACCCCCAATGTGTCATGCAAAATGATTGCATATGTGCGTTCAATATACCGGCGTGTCAGTCCCGCCAAAGATCAGCGTGTTTCTAAAGATCAGAGACCTATGGGATTGACGTCCCTGGATAGGTCCAGCGTCGGGGATTAGAAGAGGGAGAACACCAAATTTGATCCCCATGGAAGAAGGAAAACGGCCCTAACATGTATCGTAACATATCAAGATCGAGCATCTTCAAGCCCCCTTCCAGGCAGTTGGAGTCCCAGTTCCAAGCCCTGGATGAGCACGTGACGGCCAAGGTGAAGGAAATGGCACATCTCCAAGAGCAGGCCGCTCCAAGCGACGCCATGGCGCGGCAGTGTGCGGGTCGCGGTGGGAGCGCCTGTGCGAGCAGCGCCGCGCCGTCCAAGACCAGTGGAGCAGCCTTCCTTGACACACCCATTTCAAGCCTTTGTGCATCAGTCACATCCGACGAGTGGGTGCAAATACAACCCGCAGAGAGTGGCTATACAACTACGTCGCGTGAGGCACCCAAGTCGAAGGGTGCACCCACACCCAATGGTCATGTACCAACGATTAATGGGCCTGCCCCTGTTACGAGCGGCCATACCATTTTGCAAAACAGCCAGACTACTATGCCCAACGGCCAGATATCTGCACCCGGCCCTCTGCAAAACAAGACTACTTTGCCCAATGGCCAGACACCTGTACCCAACTCTTTGCAAACCAATCCAGCTATGGCCAATGGCCACACAGCATCCCAAACGCCCATGCCCCGTCATGCTCCCAATGGCACCAAGAGCAGCCCACCCAGCACTTGGCCAAACCAGAGCTCCGGGCCCACGAGGGTCACCGAACGCGCCCACGCCATGCCGAACGCAGCGCCGAAGTTCGCTTTCACTCAGACTCCGAAGCCACGTGTGCCGACCCGATCGCCTGATGGCCGGTTCCAGGGAATGGACCAACCGACACTTGGATGCAGGGAGCTAGGTTCAGCTGGGATGAGCATCCAAGTTTCCACTGCAAAATACTGCAAAAATACTGCAAATTGGAAGAGCTAAGGATAGACGATTCAAAACATTAATGGTGCTCCCAGACTAGATGAAGAATATCGAATACCTCTAGACTCTAGATGTGTGACTTAATTGCTATCCATGCACTTTGCTGCTTAAGTGTAAAATCATGTGTTTGTCGGATTTAAATCTATGTGAGGTTGAAAAGAAACCCCACACCTCACAGTTTAATCTTTGCAGGTCCTAGGTGTCTTTCTACCAGAATCGTTTCCAAATCGGAAAAACCGGATCAGAGTAAAATTACTCTACTTCGAGTGTTCCCCACCCTGAAAGGTGATTTGGAAAGAGGCAGGGCACATGTATTGACAGACAATACCGACAACGCTGCCTGACACTAGCACTGGCACAATGTTGTGAAATGTTTTCTGGCATCTGGCATCACTGTTTTACTGGTATGTGTTTTAACACAATCTGGCAGAGGCTGGAAAATGTTCTGACATCCTGGTCTGCAATGTGTTCTGATTTGTTCTGCCGTCAAGTCTGGCATGTGTTCTTACATATTTTTTGGCACGTGTTTCTGACAGTGACAGGCTCTCTCGGTTCAATCGGGCATGTGTGCTATTACACAATTTGGTCCGACTTGTGTTTGTATGTACAGTATATGTAACTATAATAATATAACATAATATATTATATATATTTTTTTTTAATGACTTAATCTGTACAACAATATTTGTATTTGCTCTGACATTTGTTGTGTCATGTGTTCTGTGGCAGTTGTTTTGCTATTCGCTATCAAACCTCCCATTTCTTCCGACATGTGTTCTGACACGTGTTCTGCATTCTTCGGCCATGTGTTCCGTCATGTGCACAAGGTCCACTCTGCCGCCAAATGCGTAGTTGTCCAGTCCAGCGCGAATGTTTTTGACGTACTTTCCGGCATGCATTCTGACATGTGTCCCGTCGTCAAGCCTGCAATGTGTTCTGACAGTCCTTCTCCGGAGGCGGGAAGGCAGGCGGAGGTCGGCGGGCGGCGGGTAGCAAGTGTTGATTCATTCCCTTCGCTCTTAGTTTGCTCTTGGAGTGTATCAAGCTTCGCTCCCCAGAATGATGTAGAAATTGTTTTGGTTGTTGTTTTCCACCTCACTTTATAGTCAGCAAAACATGACAACATTATTGCAGTGTGAGTTGCTGAGAAGTGAGTTTGCATCTTGCAATTGCCTTTGGGATGATGTTACAGGTTGACAGTATTGTTGCCGTCATCTAACCAAAAAAGTTGTTTTTCCAGATGTCACATATGGTCGAGCCCTGCGAAACAAAAAAAACATGCTGCACACACACAACAAAACGATATATAAGTAACACATAGTTTAAATACCAATTTCAAAACCCAAAAGACATGTTCCTTTGGGTTCTGATACACCCTAGCTGCATGTTTTAGATGGGTGGTTTACTTGCCACAGGACACACCCGGAGGATGCATTCTCGAAAGGTTTGACCGCGTACTGGGAAAAAGAATTCTTCATGGCCAAGAAGAACAAAAAGACTGAGGAGGAGAGGGTTGATTGTTGGGCTGGTGGGTTGGTTGGTTGCTTGGTTGGTTTGTTAGGTTGATTCTGTTGGGTTGGTTTGTTGGTTTGATTCGTTTGGGTTGTTTTTGGGTTGGTGGATTGGTTGGTTGGTTGGTTGGTTGGTTGGTTGGTCGGTCGGTCGGTTGGTCGGTCGGTCGGTCGGTTGGTTGGTTGGTTGGTTGGTGGGCTGGTTGGGCTGGTTGGGCTGGTTGGGCTGGTTGGTCGGTTTTGGTTGGCTGATTAAGTTGCTTGGATGGTTGGTTGGTTGATTGATTGATTATATTATATAATTGATTGCCTTACTGGTTGGTGGACGCCATTTGTGCGATTGGTTTGCTGTTTGAAACCTATCTCAGCAGTTTCCATTCCCAGACTGGGCCCGACTGAAGCAGCCAGGAGAGGAAAATATTGCTGAGGGAAGCACAGCTGAAGCTTCTCGTTCTTTCTGGTGTTCAGTTTTTGTTGATGCGTTGTTGCCTTGCGGATTGGGCGCCATGTCGGCACATGATCGTGACACGTATGCCGTATGCCTGGAATGCTGTTTCGTCAACCAATTCTTCCTGTTTCGTTGCAGGGATTGGTAAAGACGGAAACCGTGTTTTCGATTCGTGACATGCGTCAACCCGACCTCTCTTCGGAGGCAAAAGGACGACGGAGAAGAAACATGAAGCCGCAGTGTTGGGTGAAAGTGTTGTTTGAGACCAGTCAGTGCAGCGACCTCTAAAGAAAAAGTGAATCCGTTTTTGAAAGATGATATGTCTAGCTGTTACCTGGGAGAAAACTACGTAAGTTAAGGAGCCGGGGTGGCCCAATGCCAATATATGTTTCTTCAATCCAGAGGCATTTGGATTGAAGATCTGGCAAGACCCCTGTGAAATCTTCTATCTTCAATCCAGGGATCTGGATGTCAATCACCGCAATCCCAAGTGTGACAGCTGTGAACATCCGAAGTCTGACTGTGTGTAAGTATACAGTTGCCATGCCTTTGTGAGCATCAAAGGTGGTGTAAACACTCTATACATAAGCAGAAATATGATTTAACATGATTTAAACAATATTATATATATACACATTATATATACATATAAACATATGTATACATTCATTGGGCATCGTTTCTATTTGCGGGCCCCTGCCATTTCGGGTGGAGTGTATGGATGGACACGGGCCCTTCAGCCATCCTGCAGGCTGCATCCTGACAAGGGCGGCACCAATGATGCGATGAGCCTCGATCAAGGATTTTCCCTCAAGACGGACATGCATTGAGACATAATGGAACAACGTATTTGAAATAGCCTCAGGTGGTTAATGTGGGGAATGCTGGGTTGAAAGACATTGAATCCAGTGGTTGTTGAAATGGTAGCGGGATTTCATTAGTGGTGGAACTTGAGATCCACCCCGTCAGAAGATGATATAAACATCGTGGAGGCAAGTATGTTCAGGCATGCGCAAGCGCTCAGGTACAGAGTATATACAAAGAGGTAAATAGACTTTTTTTTGAGCTGGAGCTGGAGAACTACAGTAAATAGCTGTGAAGGCTAGCGCACTCAGCGTTTCAGGCCCCAAGTTGAGCATGAAAGCCATTTCTTCAAGATATGGTCGTCACTGAAGCTGTCACCGTTGCCGAGTTCCACTCCGCTTTCTGAGGAAATGGCTGAAAGATTGGATGCAGCAGCACAAGCTGTGGTACTTGGCGGAAGTAGGGGAACGACCAAGTGCTCTTGGTCAGCCCAAAGAGGATGCCAGGTCAAAAATTTATGTAGACGGTTAACAAAGTCCCCGCGGACCCGCAGACATGGATTGTAAAACCTGTTCAGGTGCGGAGTTGAAAATGGACATGAGCCCAGTGTGACCGGTCCGGTCTTTCGGTTGGTTTTCAGCACTGGCTGAAGCCGCTGGCAAAATGGCATCCAGATCCAGGGCACAGAATCTTGTGGAGCAGCAGATTGCCTTGGGCATTTTCCCAGAGTTGCTGCGATCAGCCAGCCCAGCCGCAGCTGGTGGAGTTTCAGTCTGATGGACTAGACTTGTTGCAACCAGTCCTGCCCACCAAGTTTTGGAGCGTTCTTTGCTGTCGCAGCAGCTCGCAAGTTTCCATCCGCGAGTCGCGTTGCACCAGTCACGTGCGCGATCTGGGGGGGTAGCTCAGAAATCTGCGCGATCTGCACTTGGGTTTTGTAGTGAGGCAAACCTGAAGAAATCTGCGAAGATTCCCCACGGAACCTGAAGAGTCCTTGAGACTCCCTGCAGATTTTGGAGCTGTTTGAGAGTTCACTGCCGAAAGTGCGCAGGACTTTCTCGTACAGATTGTGAGGCTCAGAATCTCCCCAGACAGTTTGCAAAATAGCGTGCTTGAGGGTCCATTGGAGCGTTGTCCCTTCATTGGCAAAGCAATTGACCAACAAAGCAACTAGAAACGGCCTCCCTTTCTTCCGCAGAACACGGGTAGTTGCTGCAGTCATCATGCACTAGAGGATGCAATGTTACACTGAGCTATGGCTCGTTTACACCGCTTGGTTAACATTCTGTGGCGGCCTTTTCGGTCTGCCGTGACGGACCAACCATACGAAATGGTTGACCAGGTGATTCGGCAAGCAAGGCAGAGGAATTGTTGATTGTTCACTCATGGTTTTGTTTGCTGTTTTCCGATGACTATGACATGCCATGACTGATATTTACTATGATGATTCCAAATTAAATTCTACTATTTGTTCTCAACTGTATATTATATGTTAACATTGTCTGCCAAATTTGATCACTGCCGCACCGCAGGACTTTTTCCTGGCTCACACTCGTTGGCAATTCATCAACTGGACTGCTCGCCGTGTCTTGCACCATGTTTGCCCAGCAGATTGGAGCCATGATCGCTGAGGTGCTCAACAAAGTGTCAGAGGCGTGACGCGCGCGCGCGTTCCTCGCGCACGCACCGGCATGTATGAGTGTGCGGCATTGGTGGTGACATGGGGCACCTTTTGCAAAGTCTATGGGATGGGGAACTAGACATCCGAATACATTCGATATCTCATAACAAGAAGTCTTGACCGTCCTGCCTTGCTGTTGGCCAAACGGTTTGGGCCAGGCTCAGGAGGCCTATGACATTATCGAGAAGAACAAGGACAACGTGGAGATCTTGGAAAGCACAGGGCCCAGATGCCAGAAACTGCTGCAAGAAAATTAATAACCTTCCACAACTCCAAGCCGTTCATGCCCCACAGTTCTTTTCATAGTCTTTTCAGTCCTACACGTCATAGTCCCCACGTCCTTCCGCCGCTCGTCCTAGTCGCGGCGGCTCCCTGCACTCCATGCAGTCCCATGTCTCGAGGCCTGCACTCGCGGCCCAGCATCGACCCTTGCAAGCGTAAGCTCCTCACGGCGCAAAAGCCCATGGAGGTCACTGACGAGATCGATCGACTGGCGAAGCTTGGAGCTTTCCGCGTATTTCTACCGCGGCGCTTTGCGGCGCCCGGCGCGGGACGTGGTGTTGGGAGGGGGGGGCGGTAAAGAGACTTTCTGGAGGCAGGGTGCCTCGATGACCGACCCATGTTTGCTCCTGCTACTTCTGTACATGGTGTACAGCTCTCCTGCAGAGGGTGCTCCAGTGAAAGAAATGTCGAGACTTCATGCCACAGTTATAAACACACCATCCTCTCCAATGCTGCGCCACCAGGTCACATGAAACGCAGGGGCTTAAATAGCTCGTTGAATCTTCAGTTCAATTGGGGCTTACCGTTGGAGACCGAAAAAGAGATCGTGCGCCCCCGCCGCCTCCGCCTAGGAATCGCTTGGCCCTGTCCGAGTCGGAGGGGCGAGAGATGGTGCCTTGGCTCCGAGCTCTGGAGGGACGGAACACTCGAGTGGTCCCCAGATAGATAGATAGTGGCAGTCGTGGGCACGGTTCTCCAAGGCATGTTCTACGGTTGGCTGTCGACATGTGACGTCTTCTATTTGAGGGTCTAGAAACTCGAACGTTCTGAGGGTCGAATTCTTAGCCACCACGCAAGCTCGGCGTTTTCTGCTTTTTGCGGCGTCGACTCGACAGACGTCCGTCGACTCAGGTGGCTGCTGTGATGTCCGAGCTTCAGGCCGCCGAGGCAGACGCGGACGAGAGCCTGGAGGAATCGAAGGCCTCGGGTCACCGAAAAGAACGACCGAGTGGAAAAACGAGTTCCGGTCACTGGTTTGTTCATGGAGACTTTGAGGGCACTTGTTTGAAAGGGTGGATGACTCCTGAAGCAATGCACAAAATTAAGCGATCCTAGAGTGATTTTTCGGGTTAGCTGTATAAGTCTGTAAAAAGGTCGGTGTTCGACTTACTGTCATGTTAGCGTGAGAGGCACTTTGTGTGAGCCACCTCTCATGAGTTCGCCCAATTAATTTGGGATAATTTGGGTAGCTGAAGGGAAATAAAGGGCTGTTGTGCGAGAAACTGTGGTTCAGAGCAGGCTGAACAAACTTGAGGAACTGCTGCTTCATTGCTCGAATTCGTGATTTGCAAGTGCTCTTTGGCCAAGAGCTCCATCGAGTGTCATGGATTGCGATGAAAGGGATCGATGCCCTTGCACCACCACTGGTCCACTGGACCAGCCTGGGTAATGATTCTAGTTGTTCAGGATGATCCTTGATAAATGTTACACGTTGCCATCGGATTCTTACTCCGCACAAATTGACTGAGAACGTTTATTCTAGATCAGCGCCACAAGTACCAATCTACAACAGCGCTGAAATGCACCCAAGTGAATTTGAGCATCTCATGCAAGATCCTGGTAGTTACCAACCATGCAACCGAACAATTTGCATAATGTAACCCACCAACCTGAAATGGGTCTAGTATGGTCTGCTGGGTTTCTTTGGGGTAATGATAGTATTGTTGACTGCCGCCACATGTTTGTTGTTGTTGTTGCTGTTGTTGTTGGTGGTGGTGGTGGTGGTGGTGGCTGCGGCTGCTGCTGCTGCTGCTGCTGCTGCTGCTGTTGCTGTTGCTGCTGTTGCTGCTGTTGCTGCTGTTGCTGCTGTTGCTGCTGTTGCTGCTGTTGCTGCTGTTGCTGCTGTTGCTGTTGCTGCTGCTGCTGCTGCTGCTGCTGTTGCTGTTGCTGGTGCTGTTGCTGTTGCTGTTGCTGTTGCTGTTGCTGCTGCTGCTGTTGTTGTTGTTGTTGTTGTTGTTGTTGTTGTTTGTCTTCTTGCTGTTTCTCTTGTTGCTGTTTGCTGTTGGTTGTTGTATTTGTGTTGTTTGTTGCTTGCTTTGCTTTGGGTTGGGCTGGGCTGGGCTTAGCTTGGTTTGTTGGTTGGTTTTTACTGATGTTGCTCGTTTGGTTGTTTCTCCTCATCCCATGCCACATCAATGTGGGTTGTTCATCATGAGGCCTTGGAGAAACTCCGCAAAGAGCAGATGGAGCACGTCCTTCACCAGAAGAAGACGTTGGATTGGATCGAAGGGGGCGCTGGCATGTCGGGGCCCAAGGTCGAACACCAGGGAACCGTTGTACAGAACTGGAAACCCCACCAGTTCTATATGAAGATGGATAGGGTTTGTCCGAACTTACATGTAACAGTAACAGTCAGTAAACAAGAACATCACTATTTTTGAACAAGGCCTCTACTAACCATCATCATGCACAGACCCAACAGATGATTAGGATAGACCCAACAGATGGGAACCATATTAGATACCATGCACATGTTTTTGCGTGTTGCTGTTTGTTTCGTCTTCAGACTAGGACAAGAGCAATGAACATCCGGTGCCCAGCAACACTCCCCCACTGTGTTTTGTGCTTTCAGATTCATTGAACCGATTCACCATGATCCGCCGGAAAAGATCATTGAAGAAATAATCATTCTGTTCTTGGAATTGAGGATTCGCATTGATTATATACATATTGTAAGGGCTTCGCCCGGGTGCCGCCGACCCCTTTTCAAGAGGAGGTGCTGACCGTAGCACTTCCTGTGGACGGCCGCAGGTCTATCTGCGTGGCTGGAGAATGGCAAGCAGAAGAAGAAGAAGAAGCAGAAGCAGAAGAAGAAGAAGAAGAAAAAGAAGAAAACGAAGTAGCAATGCCTCTGTTCTGGCTGTGCTAATAGACTGGCGGCTGTTTGCGGGGGCCTTGTTGGACAGCCCAGGTGCTGAGCCAGCAAGGCTTGTGCTGCGGCAGCCCTGGTGCTGACCGTAGCACTTCCTGTGGACGGCTGCAGGTCTATCTGCGTGGCTGGAGAATGGCAAGCAGAAGAAGAAGAAGAAGAAGCAGAAGAAGAAGAAGAAGAAGAAGAAAAAGAAGAAGAAGAAGAAGATCAAGAAGAAGAAGAAGAAGAACAAGAAGAAGAAGAAGAAACAGAAGATCAGTCACAAGAGAAGTACAACACCAACAGCGAAGAGGAAAATGCACAAAAAGACATCCATAAGAGGCAGGTTTGCGATGCAGGAGTAGGCCAAAGGCGCTGGGGGGGCTCCCGGCTGACGCAGGCAAGGCTGCGATGCAGGAGTAGGCCAAAGGCGCTGGGAAGGGTTTGAAGTCGCGGGGGAGGGTTTGAAGGCGGTGCAAAATGCGTAACGTCGCTTTTGGAAGCCCATAAGAAGAGAAGAGGCAGGCCTGCGATGCAGGAGTAGGCCAAAGGCGCTGGGAAGGGT